ATCGAGCTACCATTATGTGATCATTTGCTACTAAGCAGTGCATTCGTGTTTTTATTTGAAACTTCTGTTAGAATATACTTTTCGTTACCAAGAAAATTAAAAAAAATAAATGCATATTACATTAAAAATACTGAGTATTTTTTGTATCATGTAGAATTTTTTTTTTATTGTAATTTTTCAACATTTCGTAATGCCTATTTTAGAACCAAAATAAGGCCTTTCACTCTTCCCCGACGCCTATTCAAGAGATTGTACGGTGTATTGTTTGTTTTGTGCATGTGTTGTGGACAAAAAATGACCACGCCCATTTAGTGATTGCAATATGTACGTAATAGAAACCGCACCCCGAACTTGAGCTTTTGATCCCAATTTTTAAATTGATACATTGTAATATAAACCGCGGTTTATAATAGGACTTTAACGGTAGTTGTCATCTCGGTATCCACATATGTATTATTACAGGACTTGTCCAGTGGTGGTATTCAAAAAAATCTATTAAACTTCAAACTGCAGTACACATCTTATAAGCAACATTCACTTGTCATAACCAGGCAACTCAAAATTTATCTATTTATAACCCTTCGCTGATAGAGTCATGTGTAAAAAATGTTAACATGACAGAAAACCCAGAGGGAACAAACAAGTCAACTGTTATGCATTTGCGATTTTACAGTGCAATTGTGGATAAATTTAGTTACACAGCTAAGATACCCCACCTCCCTACACGCCAGAAACACACAAAACCTGCATGAGCAGAAAAAGAAGTAAGAAGTTTTACCCACAATATCATAATTGGATCAGTCACATGGAATACAATTCTGTTGTTACATTGTACTTTGATCACAACTTACCATTAGCCATGAGAAATTTAGGGATGAGATCAACATTCCAGTCTCTCTGGCGGCCAAAAGATTCAGGTACATCTTCTGCCTTTAAACCAAATTTTTCATATAGCTAGAAAAAATATGAAAAATAGAATTTCAAATCTTGGCAATATACTACAGAAGACAGTACTCCTTATACTTCAACCGTACTGTATGTACTTAAAGTTCCTGTGCAATGCCCCCCAAAAAAAGTTTCGCCGTAGTCATTGACGCCTATTCAAGAGTATTGATGTTTATTGCGACTAGCGTGAATGGGTTAGCTTTGTTTCGACAATGAGCTGTTATCGCTGTAAACAATGTTAAATTTACCTTTTGAAACCAACTAATTTTTTTATTTAAAAACAAATCATGCCGTTTTCCCATGAAAATCCAAGCCAAAAGTTCGTACAACAACAACGGCAAATCTCTTCTGTGCTGCGTTCAATAACATTAACATATTTGAATGAGCTATGGTATGTTGAAGACGTTCGCATCGTTTTAATTGGTTAATAATTGATTTGACCTGTCAGGTAAAAGAACATCGCTCTGGTCAAACATGGCGGATATTCATGTATACAGCATCGAGCGCTGAAATTGCGTTCGGAGTCATTCGCTTACGATGAAATAAGTTGAAATTTATTTGCATTTCATAACAATTCAACGAATTTATATTTTGCACGTTATTATAATTATTACTAGGTAATAATCAACAATGGTATAACGCAGCATGACCAGATTGTAATACCGCATCATTTGCTACTAAGCAATGCAGATGCAGTTCATTTAGAATATACTTTCTTACTAATAGAATGAAACAAAATAATTGTTTTTGACTCACGATGTTCGTTAATGTGATTTTTTTGGAGAAAGATACGCTGTCTACTTTTTAATCCAGCAAGAAAAAAATGTATAAAAATTTAAATTAGCAAATTTAGATTAGCTTCTGCAATAGTTTCTTTCGTTTTGGGTGGTCCAACTGCCAGTGTTGATAATCGGCGTCAATAAAAATATAAGCCCCTTAAAAATATTTGATGATAATTTTTTTGAAAATTTGAACCCCAAATAAGGGTACACCAACCGTGAAACCAGCCAGGGCGATTTTTCGGATGGGCGAATTTACGACAGAATCCGGTATTAGTCGTACAGGTTGTCGGTAGTGAAGTCAGATGTACTGCCCAAGAAATAAAAACAGCACAAGTTAACGGCTACTCTGTAGCCATGTGTTCAATGTTTACATGATTGTTTTTTTTTGTCAAGCACTTTCATCTATAATGAAAATGTGACACAAGGTCAATCGCCCGACCAATCAAAAACTTCAATTTACAGACTATAGGGCGGTTCACTTTAATGACGTCATTGAATAAAATAACTTTCCAAAATGGCGGACACATGGTCGATGCAACCCTGTGGACCAGCGACGAAAAGCCCGTTACTAAGCTTTCCATCACGGAAATTCGTAATCGATTTGCTGACCGATTGATATTTATTGACTAAGTAATAATCTTGCCCAACATCTGTAGTATCGTGGAAATGATTTTTTTCAGGTCAAATCTTGACCAAACCTAAACTGCTTGCTAACCGAAAGGCTGTGATGACGGAGATTGTCTGTGATTGCGGCTACACCATGTACTGATAACTTGAAAACTCAAACAAAATGTATATTTTTAATGTCTTCATGCAATATATTCTGATTTATCCACTTTATTCTGGTCCGCAAATTAATAGGATACAATTTTAAACATGTTTTCGAATGCCACGATTTAAAAGGATACATTTAAAAATTAGTGTTCGAAAATAAAATGGGTGCGCAAATTAATAGAGACCGCGAATTAATAGAGTTATTACGATAACAACAACACTTACAATTCTTGCAAGTTTCATTTTAATCTAAGCACCAGTTCTTGTAATATCAATAAGACATGAATTCCATTCATATGCAAATTTTCTTAATTGTTAACAATTTGTATCCAAACCAAATCAGATCTTGTAATTGTCCGATAGTAAAGGTCGCTTCAGTTTCATCTGATACTGATCACTGATTCTTGAGATATCACATTCACAAATTTGCTGCACAGACAGACAGACAAGACTTTTTGTTGACTGTCTACAGCAGCTGACAATGCCTGATTTAGTATTTCAGGATTTGTGGCCAGATAAATTATTTTTACAATTCATGGTGTTTCGCATATAATACAAAATGGAAATTACAATCAAAGAAAGCTTAGAAAGAACTCCCGTGTGCTGAGAGTTTTGGAGACACATTAAAAATTAATTCAAAATTACTTACACTTGAGATATTGATGGAATAGCTGAAAACTAATTATGCAAATAAGGTAACTAATATGAACAGATTTAAGTGTAAAACTAATAAGGTCTGCACAGTGTACCAAGTTTCATTGAAATGTGATTAGAACCAAAAAAATATTAGTTATTATGCTAATTAGAGAATTAATATGAACAGATTTTAACCCAAAATTAATCAGGCTGTCTATTGTCCTAGAACATTTATGTACCAAGTTTTATTCAAATGTGATGATCAATACTTGAGATATCAGTATTAATTAATTATGTTAATTAGGTGATTAAGAAGCATAAATATTTACCAAAAACTAATATGGTGCATAGTCTTAGGTTCTTTAAAAGTTTCATTGAAATCCAATGAGTGGTTTTTAGACATCAGTGCAACAGCCATAGAACAGCAAAAAATTAACTAATTATGCAAATTAGGTAATTAATAGGCACAATTATTTATCCCAAAATTAATCAGGTCTCTGC